CCTTCCCCAAACGCTCGGATAATTTTAGCAAGTCGTCACCCCCACTCTTTGTTAAGGAGGCCTGGATGTAAGAGGCTGGAAGCAAAGAGACCATCATACCTGTTTGTCAGTCCCTGAGGAGCCAAAGGTCTGGCGGATGCTGCTTTGCAGAATGTTAGAGATGCCCTCCATACTGAAGCGCTGAGGGAGAGGAGAGAGAGACTCAGGAAAGGCAAACGATTCCTGCTTGATAGCATCCCCAGGGACATCTGTGTCTGCCTGAAAGGGCCCCGACTGGCCACGAACGAAACTGGCCAGGTCCTGCCCCAGCATTCTGTGAAAGTAGAGGTAAGACCTGAGCCTGGGCCCAAATACAAGCCCAGGGCTTGAAAAAAATAAAGTGTATCCTCAAGACTGTCTCGAAGACCCTCTTCTTTTCCCAGGCTTCCTCATTTCATCTGCCATCAGAGAAACAGAAGTACAAAGCCATACATTAAAACATAAACAGACGGTGATGCAAAGGTGTTGGGGAATGGGGGTGGGGGGTTTAAGGGTTCAGTTACTAGGAAGGCCAGGTTAGAAGAAGCACCTGTCCTTATCTGGGAAAAGTTTTTCAATTCTGTTCCTGGGTGGTAAAAAAGGTCAAATACTCAACTGTCAGCCAAAATGCTCCTTAGCAAGGATGGTGCAACTTCATGTCACCTGCTTTAGACATGTTGTCCGGAGAGACCGGCCCCTAAAAAGGGCCAGCACGCTTGGTCAAGTAGAGGGGCAAAAGAGAAAGTGCAAAACCCCCCACAAGATGGATTGGCACAGTGGCTGCAACACTGGGCTCAAACCTAACGTCGTAAGGAAGGCGCAGACCCAGGTGGTGTTTTGTTCTGTTTCTATCTGTAAGGTCACTGTGGGCCAGAACTGACTGGACAGCACCTAAGAACAACAGCCCCAAAGTTGGTGGTTCAAACCCAAGCAGATGCACCTGGAAAGGCAGGCTTGGCGATCTGCTTTTGAAAAGTAACAGTAACTGAAACCCCTTTGGAATAGTCCTTCTCTGCACACACAGGGTCATCCGGAGCCCAAATCGACTCTACATCCATCAACAGAACAACCCTCCCTGAAACCCTATGCCATCGAGTTGTTCCTGATTCTTATCGATGCTATCGGATGGAAGACTGTCCTTTCAGCTTTCCAAGACTTTAAATCTTGACAGGGCAGACCTCCTCATCTTTCTGCATGAAGCAAGAGTAGGTCTAATCCACAGATCTAGCAGTTAACAGTTCAGTGCATCACCCCCAGAGTTCCACAACAAAACAACAAAGAAGTCCACCTCAGGGGGTGTGGGATGGAGTGCCTCCAGAGATCCTGCTGAGCTTTCCTGATTAAGAAAACTGTCGATGTAACAAGAAGGCATCTGATAATTTCCAACCCCAGAAACGTTCTACACAGACCCTAAATAGCTGAGTAAAGAAAATTAGCCATGCCAAAGCCGAAATTCTGACCCAAAGTCCTCAGGCACATCCCCATTCAACACAATAGACCTTCACCCCACCTTCGAAGGTCCTATCAACAGAGGACACATGCCCTGCTCAATTACTTCTTAATATTTATATCCTGATTCTTCCTCCCAGTTAGATCATGAGTCTTGGGGGCACATAGAAAAGACTGATGCTATCGTCCCCCATTTTGTGATTCCACTGTCTCTCTTAATACTTTGCTCACCGGCCCTTCTCAATACAGGTTTGTTTGTAAAGAGTCTTGACAAGAGTTGCGTAGGCAGCTGAGAGAGCTGGGCTAGGGCCGGACACGGTCCCGGGCTGGACTTCTCACATACCTTGAGGGGCATCTGGCTTCCCTTCTCGATTCGGCTGTTCTGCAGGCTCAGTCCCTTCTCTTTCCGCCTCTTTTTCATTAGTTCTCGCTGCTCCTTCTGCTTGTTCTGAACCTCAATAAGCACCGTAATGAAGGAGTTCTTCACTTCCTTCTCAAATTCCAGCTCGTCCCGGTGGGCAAGCTGTTGCACCAGCTCCTCGGAGAAGTCTCGGATGGCCGTCTCCACCTGATCCAGCAGCTCGGCCAGCTCGGGTCCCGACATGTGTCTCAGCCCTGCGGGGAGAAACAGCCTGCAGGCAGCGCTTGCATCCAGGCCAGATTCCACCAGGCGCGCCACCATGAAAGATGGGGCTCTCCTCCGAGGGAGGCCCCGTCTAATCTGTAGATTCCCCAAGAGACTGTCACCAGTTTGGAGGCATGCTAGCAAGGGAGGGACCTTCTGCAAAGGAGAGCGCCACCCTCAGGCAACCAAGGAGGAAGAAGAAAATCCCGTAAAAGCCCAGGGGCCCTGTCCACAAAATGATGGGCACATTTATTTGATCCCTGTTCTACCTCCCTGCTTTTGCCTTTGTCGCTGTACTATTCCTCCTGTGAAATGGGTCAAGAACCAAGCAAAAAAAGACAAAACCAAGAGGTGGGTTTTTTTTGGTTTCTATGCTGAAGAGCAATAGAGAGGTTGTGTTTATTCCCAAGAACTGATCAAGATCTCACCAACAGCAAAAGCAGCCGGGATCAAGGTGTTGGAGGAGGAGGGAGTCCATGTTTAGTAAGCATGGAGTTGCTATTTCTGAGGATGGCAAATTTGGCAGTGGATAGTGGTGATGGTTGCAGAGCATGACGAGTGTAACTGGCGTCCCTAAATGGCTTTCCTAAAAGTGTTAAGTAGGCAAATGTTGCGATCTATATATCTATTCTCAGCAATCATTTAAAATAAGTAGTTACAATCCTCATATAGACAGGGAAAGAGAGAGAGATCTGAGGTTTTCTTCAGGCCTGTGGTTCTGTCAGGGTACAAGTATTCAACACAACATGGAGTCTGGAAGACAGCAACGTGTACTCAAAACTGACATCTAACTACAACCCCAGCGTGTTCTACTGCTCCCAGAAGAAGAAAAGAGCTTGCTATCACTGGAAACCACGAGTTCAAATTCTTGTCCCTGAGAATCTGCATTTGGACCTGGTCGGGGAGGAGGGAGGCATGTTTTCTAATGCGCCCCTTTCTAGTG